ACCTCAACTTATTTTGGGAGATTGTAATGCTGTTTTGTGTGTGCATGAAAAAATTGGTGACATTCTACCACGACGTTCTTCTTGCTAGGAATTTCAGGCAATGGTTGATATGTGTGGTCTTTTACCAGTTGACACTAAAGGCTCTCCTTTTACATGGGCAAATGATCATGGCATTTCTTCACACATTGAAATGCTTCTTGATCATTTGTTTTTGTTCTTCCTCTTGGTATGACACCTGGCCAGTTACTAATTGCTCAACTCTTGCACGTCATTCTTCGGACCATAATCCACTTTTAGTCTCTTTTCAACAGTACATTGCACAATTTCCCACACCTTTTCGGTTTCAACGTGTTTGGTTAGACCACTTGGATTTTATCAATTTTGTAAAGAAGGCTTGGGGTTCTTTCCAGGTTTTTGGGTGTCCAATGTATGTTTTGCAATCAAAGCTTAAATTATTGAAGCCTCTTCTCAAAGCTTGGAATTCTAATGCTTTCGGTAATGTTAACACCGCAGTCGACTTTGCTCGGAATGTCAATGCATTAGAATCTATTCAGCTTGAGATTTCTACTTTAGGGTTTTTCGAGATTTGGCATGAGGCTAAGTTACGAGCGCATTCTCATCTCTCTTATGCTTTAATTGTTCAGGAAAAATTTTAGAGTGACAAGGCTCGTTTAAAATGGTTACAAGATGGGGATCGAAATACAAGTTACTTTCATTAGATTGCTAAAATTCGTCACGATCGTAATTTTATTTCCTCTTTGCAAATTGGTTAGAACTTGGTGGAAATGTTGATTCTTTGTGATCTCATGTTGTCGATTATTTTTCTACTGCTTTCTTTAATGATGGCTCCACTACTAATATAGGTATGGTTTGAAGGTTGATTTCTCCTATGGTTTCTACCTATGAAAATGATTCATTACTAGCTGTCCTTACCTTTGATGATGTTCGTTCCATAGCATTTTCTATGGATCCTAATAGTGCTCCTGGTCCGGATGGTTTTGGCTGGCATTTTTTTCGTGCCGCTTGGGATTTTGTTGGAATTGATGTTGTGAGAGCAGGTCGCTCGTTTTTTCTGTCTGGTTATATTCTCCCTAATCTCAATTCTAATTTTGTGGCTTTGATTTCGAAATCACCAGAGGCTAATATTATATCCCAGTTCCGTCCAATTGCTTTGGCTAATTTTTCCTTTAAAATTAATACCAAGATACTTGCTAGTCGTCTTGCTCCTATTGCTGCCCGAATTATTTTGCCAAACCAGTTTGCTTTTCTCAAAGACAAGAATATTTCAGATTGTATCTTATTAGCTTCAAAAGGTATTAATTTGCTTGATAATAGGAATTATGGTGGGAATGTGACCACTAAATTTGATGTGGCTAAGGCCTTTGATACATTAAGCTGGAGTTTTCTCACAAATGTTCTATCAGCTTTTAGGTTTCATGCAACGTTTTTCAAGTGGATTGATGTTATTCTCGCCCTAGCATGTTTGTCTATTATTTTTAATGGATCTCCAATTGGCTTTTTTGGTTGTTCACGAGGGGTTCATCAGGGGGATCCGCTGTCTCCTCTTCTTTTTTGTCTTACTGAAGAGGTTTTTAGTAGAGGAATCCTTGAACTTCGTAATTTCAGGCCGTACTAATTCTATTTTCTCTCCTCATGGGGTAGTGGCTCCATCACATCTTCTTTTTGCTCATGATATCCTTGTGTTTTGTAGAGGTGATAAGAGAAGTTTACAAAACCTCATGGCTTTCATGGATAAGTACGATGTTAACTTTGGTCAATTTATTAGTAAGCCAAAGTCTTGTGTTTACATCAGAAAATATGCTCTGCCACGTCAAAAAGGTAATTGTTTCTTGGTTGGGGATTTCTCATGGTGAGTTGCCTTTCACTTATTTAGGTGTTCCTCTTTTTCGTTGAAAACCCAAACATTCTTTTTTCCAGCCTCTAACTGATAAGGTGCAGCAATGTATGTCACATTGGAATGGTCACTTTCTATCTATGGCGGGTCGCCTCACACTGGTTAAATTTGTGGTAGTCAGTATGTTATCTCATAGTTTTTCAATTTATTCATGGCCTGCTTCTATTCTAGCTCAAGTATGTTATTGGGCTTGTAATTTTATTTGGACTAGTTCTGCAGATTCGCGAGGGTTTTCGACAGTCTTTTGGAAAAAGTGTTGTGTTACTTATTGTGAAGAGGGTCTTGGTATTTGTAATTTTGCTTCTTTAAACAAATCTTTTCTTCTTAAGAAGTTTTGGGACATTTTGACCACCTCCTCTATGGCTGCAATTATTTTTCGAGGCCACTTTATTAATTGTTTGGGACTGCCTTGTTTGTCGTATAAATGTTCCTCCATGTGGCCTGAGTTGTGCCCTCTTTTTGGAGATATTATCTCTAGATCTCATTGGATTATTGGTACCAGTCACAAAGTTTCTTTTCGGCTTGCAATTTGGTTAATTGAGCCCATTGTGGATGCTTTGGAAATTCCCATGTCTATGCGAAATTCATTGAAATCTAAAGTTTCTGATTTTATATATAATGGTCACTAGTGTCAACCTGCTTTCCTTAATAATCGGATGCACTCAATATGGAATAAGTTGCTCTCTATTACTTTGCCAATGGATCCTGGAGTGGATGACTTATTGGTTTGGAATGATGCTACTAATGGTCATTTAACACTTACTCGGGCTTATGATTTTAAAAGAAGTAAACAACCTCTAGTTACTTGGGTAATTGGGTTTGGCGTTCTTGCTACCGTCCTCGTAATTCAATTGGGTTTGGTGATCTTGCTACTGTCCTCGTAGTTCAATTATTTTATAGAAGTATATGCCTGGTAAGCTTGTCACCGATATTCTTTTGCAAGATTGAGGATTTTCTTTGGCGTCTATATGCTCATTCTATCGCTCAACAATTGAGACACCTTCTCACCTCTTTTTCAGTTGTAATTATTCTCACCAAATTTGGTCTTCATGTTTGCGTTGCTTTAAGGTGGACATAAATTTTTATGACATTTTAAGTTTTTTTTTCATATCCTCTTGAACATGGTTTTGGCTCTCAAGTTCAAGTTTTGTGGTGGGGGATGATTGGCGTGAGTTGTTATTCTATTTGGGCGGCCCACAATGCATTGCGTTTTGAGGAATTATCTCCTTATGTTTCCACTATTGTTCGTGATATTAAGTTGTAGTTGACTGAGATTGATTCTTTGAGCACTAGTACCATGCGAAACTTTGTGTCTGATCTTTGTATTCTTTGTGCCATTGATTCATGAGGTTCTATAGCTGCCACTTCCTATTTCTTTGATTAAGGTTAACACTGATGGTGCGACTCATGCTGCGACTCGTTTGGCGAGTATTGGGGGTATTTTTGGAGATCAGTTTAGCAGTTGTTCAGGCTGTTTTGCAGCTTCAATTGGAATTTCTTATTCTTTAGAAGCAGAGTTACATGCAGTTATTCATGCCTTGGATTTGGCTTGGGTAAACAATTGGAATGATTTGTGGATCGAATGTGATTCTTCTTTAGTGGGTCCTTTTTCTTTCTTCTACTTCTTGCAAGATTCATTGGCGTCTACGTGTTCGTTGGATTAATTGCCTTGCTCTTCTCTCTTATATGCACATTCGTGTCACTCATATTTTTCGAGACGGTATTGTAGTTGCTGATTGTTTGGTTAATTTCAATGTAGATCATTCTGGGAGTTTATATTGAGACTCTTGTCCTCCTAGTACAACTTCTGCTTACATTCATAACCTTTCTTCACGGCCTAATTTTAGGTTTTGGTAGTTTGGTCCTTGATGCTTGCAGAAGTATTAACTTTCATTGAGGCAGTTCATGCTATTTTGCACCTGCCACCATGCTCGTGACTTTGAGTTTCATCTTGTTGTTTGTTTTCGTTGATATTTCTTTGTTTTTCTCTTAACGGGTTTTGGCTCCATCTCTCTGCTTGTATTGCTTTATTTTTACTTTTCTTTATTTAATAAATTCAGAGATAGGGGACCCCCGGAGGGGTCGTTCTATCAGGGAGTTAGCCCTTTCTCATCACTATGAGCAGGAAGGAAGTAGTCTACTTGTAGTTGACAGCTAATCTTGGGGTTTGGTTCTTTCTTTCCGCATTGTGTAGGTTTAGAGAGTAAGGTTTCTACTATTGTAGTCCAACGACCAAGCCTTATGCGTAGCTCGACTCGCCTAATCCATTATCATCCTTGCATTTAAAAAAAAATACACATAAATTATTGGATTTCAAGAGATATATGTTAGGTCACATGTTCTAAAGTCCATATTTAATTTGGAACGTAGCTTATATATTTGCTTAAACGTCAAATATTGTTGCTAACAATGACATGCGGTGCCTTGCAGCATTTGACAACTGAAGAGTCCAATGTTGATGCGTGAAATGATATTAGTAGTAGCAGTACAGAAAAAGTCACAGACCATGTTGAATAACGTGAAAAGTCTCACACCTCCGATCAAACAACACAAATTAGAACTTATATTACTTTAACTTTTAATTGGATCGACGTCTTTTGTAGAAGGCCTTCATATAATTACACGAGTGATTAAGTAAGGAAAATATTAATATAATTAGCATTAAATCACGACACATATATCTTAAACTTAAACAAACCTTACTCATCATTTCATGTAAGGCGCCATTTGGTTCTTGGCCAAGAGAAATGCTAAGGAGACTCTCTCAAAAGTGAACTTTCTAAGGACTATTTGTTACTTCACAGTTTAAAATCAATTCATGTGGCAATACTATAAATATTGTGCAAAAAACATAAGGTGACAGAAATCCAAAGAGAGTTCCACTTTTAAAAGAGTTTTGTTAGCATTTCTCCTTGACAAAATATGTGGCTCTGAGTTAGGAAACTACTTTTCTAGCAAATTGGAGTTGGGAATACTATACATGTCATGGCTCATGTCACGACTTTTGACTTGCGACCCAAGTATTAGTTCTCTGATCGATTTCTATAAATAAAAGTAAGACGAGAGATGCAAACCCTATCAAGGAAATTGAGAGTTAATGATACAGAAAATATTATTGGAGAACATGACAGAGAAGCTCCTTTTGTTTTTCCTTTTATTTATTTGCTTGGCAAAAGCTAGCACCTCAACCCCATCCCCGCCCTCCAACATTCACAACCAAACTCAAAGTCCAAAACATTTTGTATTGATACATGGAGCTTGTCATGGAGCATGGAGCTGGTATAAGGTGGCAACTCTCCTCAAGGACTCAGGTCACAATGTCACAGCTCTAGACTTGGGAGCATCGGGGATCAACCCGATTCAGGTACAGCAGCTCCCTTCGTTATCGGAATTCGTCGAGCCCTTGACAAAGCTCATGGTGTCTCTACCACCAAATGAAAAGGTTATCCTTGTGGGTCACAGCTTGGGGGGCGCAGTCATATCTATTTTCATGGAGTGGTTCCCTCATAAAATTGTTGCTGCAGTATATGTCACGGCTTTTATGTATGGTCCTACTCTCAATTTCTCAACTACATATGCAGAGGTAATGAATTTCATATATACTAAAAGTGTAAACGTTCCGCTATATATCGTAAAACCTCAATACGTGAATGTTTGATAAAATAATAACCTCAGTTAAATAATAAATTTTCCAATCCCAACTCGGGTCAGATTACTAAGATAATAACCTTGCTAAATGCATAAGATAATCATTTTTCTTAGAATCCTTGAAGGCCCAATGAATATATAAATTAATAATTTATAAAATACATAGAGAAATAACACATAAAATTCATAATACATACTTAGGATCATTTCTCTAGTCATATTCACTTGATATATTAGAGAAACCACTCATATATACAATATTTTTTCTAACTCGAAATATTTTGCTGGTTTGTGCCTCTTAACATTGTTATTTTTCATCTCATCCGACAAATACTATGCTGGCCTTCTAAAAGCGTTTGATACTGTTGGTTGCTTGATAGAAATCAACTGATACTTTTGTTGAACCCATTGTTTCCAGGTCCTTGAACCCATTGATCAGTCAATGTAGATTTTTTTAATTCCTTTCAAATGACATGTCGTAGATGAACAAGTTGTGATAATTGTAAGGAGTCTAAAGAGATTACTTATATATAAAGAGATTATGTTGCAAGTACATAAAACATAGAAGTACCTTATTTTTTAGGAAATTAATTTTTATAATACTTGATCGTCTTGTTCTTAAATTATCTTAAAAGTTATAAATTATTCATTTATCGAATAACTTCTTTAAAATAATAAGTTTTTTTTCCCAACATTATTCATTTATGGAGGTTTTACTGTATACCTCATTTATTGGTCATATATCATACTAACCTCATTTGGTGAATCAAGAAATGCAATGAATAAATATGGCTGTGAACACGGAAAATTCCTGAAACGAAAGAGACAAGAACAACGTGCACAAACAAATATTTGTATTTAGATGATTTTGGGTTACAATCTCTCTCTATTTTGATCCTCTGATTCGATCTCCGTAAGGTGTTGATTTATGGATGTTTCGTTGATCCAAGGGCCGTCGGGGCTTGATCTTGGATGAACTGTTTGGAAGTTTCTTTAAAGGGCCGTGGGCTTGATCTTTGAAGGTGGATTTGAACGGATCTTCAAGGAGCCGTTGGGGGCTTGATCTTGAGGATGAATGTTTCTTCAAGGGCCGTTTGAGGCTTGATCTTGAATAACGGTGATGAGCGGATCTTCAAGGGCTTTTGGGCTTGATCTTGAAGAAACAGTGATGAACAGATCTTCAAGGGCTTTTGGGCTTAATCTTGAAGAACGGTTGGATGTGTGTGGATTTGTCGACGTTGTTGATCCAAAGGGCCGTTGGGGCTTGATCTTGGATGAACGGATGATGAACGATGGTGCTTTCTTCAAGGGCCGTCGGGGCTTGATCTTGAATTGGTGGATGATTGTTGATCCAAAGGGCCGTTGGGGTTTGATCTTGGATGAACGATGAACGAAGAACGAAAAGAGCTTTCTTGATTCTTCGGGAACCTGGATGCTTGAGAGCTTCGGAGTTTCAGAGCTTCAGAGCTTCAAGGTGTAATATGAATTGGTTTCCTCCAAATGAATGAAATGGGCTTGTATTTATAGAATTTATCAAGGCCTAATTTTGAATATAATATCCCAGATGAAATAAGTCGTTTCTGCCAGGTGTTGACACGTATCCTATTTGATGACTTTTCCAACTCATTTCAATTTTTCGTTGAGTCACACGCTACGTGTAAAATTTATGTAATACATGAGCGTTGACACTTTGATTTATCGGTCAACATTTATTTACCAAAATTTCGATGTCTACAAATGCCCCAACTTCAAGGCACGTCGTATACATGTGCTTGTCACGTGTAGGAGATGCGTTTTGAAGTCCTTTACTGTAGATGTCGATCCAAGGGCCGTCGAGGCTTGATCTTGAATTAGGCTGGAGATTTCTTCAAGGGTCGTTGATGCTTGATCTTGAATTGGGCTTGAGATTTCTTCAAGGGCCGTTGAGGCTTGTTCTTGAACTTTCGTTTGAAATTTCTTCAAGGGCCGTCGAGGCTTGATCTTGAAGGTTGAAATTGGACCACAAGGAGCTTCATGTGGTAGATGATCTTTGGTTTTGGTAGTGGGTGAATCGGCACATATTTTTGTTGCGCTTGTTGACTTTCCACAGCTTTGATCTTGAACTGGGTTGGAGGATTTTCTGGATTCCTCCAATTGTTGATTTTCCATAGCTTATTCTTGAACTAGATTTTGATTCAAAGGTGGTAGACACTTAATCTTGAATCGGACTTGTGATTTCTTCAATGGCCGTCGAGGCTTGATCTTGAATTTGGCTGGAAACTTCTTCAAGGGCCGTCGAGGCTTGATTCTTGAAGGTTGACTCGAACATATTGCAAGCAGGCACGAGGTGAAGGTGACGACTTGTTGCTTTGTTCAATTTTTCTAATTCACACCTGAGCAGTTTGGTCAGCGGTATGATCTTCAAGATTGATGGGCTCTTCTTCCAGTTGGTGACTTGATCTTTAAGGATTTGATTCAAGGGTGGTGAATCGGCACGTGCAGCCCACAACGCCTAGTAAGTCGACCCAAGAATTTGAGGGTCAAAACGAGTTCTTCATCTCAGACTCTTTCTGCCGAGTTGACTGTGCATGCTGCATTCTTCTCTGCTTGTTTCTTCAGGCAGATATGGCAGCTTCTCAAGTTCTTCAGCTCGGACTCTTTCTGCTGAGTTGACTGTGCAGACTGCATTCTTCTCTGCTTGTTCCTTCTGCACCTTGTCTCCACATGCTGCAAGGTATCATTTTCACTTGCCTTATCTGTTCTCCAGGCAGATGTGGCAGCTTCTTTGGAAGTACAGCAGCAGTGGGAAACGAGTACTCGAGAGCAGTGCTAGGTAGGCAATCAGGGAAGGGTTCCAAGCAGTCGGTTCCTTACCCGAGTTTGACTGGAAGTTCCGGCATATTGTTTTCTTTATCCTTGTCTTTGTAGGTAAGAACAAGGACAAAGGAAAGGACAGGGAGAACGCATGATATGAGATACTCTTGCTTTCTACCCTGGTGATATGAGATACTTTTGCTTTGGAGTCATTGGCTTGCAGAGGTATCCCAAGGAATAAGGAACATTGAATGACTCGAAAGGCTTCGTTGGGAAAGCATTTTTTGGAGATGAAGAAATGCTCTGTATGTTTGCCTTGCTATGGAAGGCGAAGGTAGACATTTATAGGAAGTTCTTTGATACCTGTAGAGGTACTATTCTTTCACTCGTGTCGGCAACCAATGCGTGATTGATCTATATGGCTTTACGTGCTTTCTTCTTTATCAGAAATCTTCGACAAATTGTCCGTAATTTCCGCCAAGCTGAGTGTGCATGTGACAGGTGTTGACGCGGCTGAAAAAGACTGGCGCCTCTTCGATAACTGGGATCGGCGCTTCGACAAATTACCCGTGATTTCCGCAAAGCTGAGTTTGCGTGTGATGGGTGCTGACGTGGCTGAAAAAGACTGGCGCCTCTTCGATATCTGGGATCGGCGCTTCGACAAATTGCCCGTGATTTTCGCAAAGCTGAGTTTGCGGGTGCCGACGCGTCTGGAAAAGCAAGATGCTTCTCCGATTTCTGAGCTTGCCTCTTCGATTTTTTAATGGCCTTTTCGAATTCTGAGCTCACATCTTCGATCTCTAAAATCTCGTCGAGTGCTGATTTTTTATAGAGGCACGCAGTTCGTTTCAAAGCACACTTGAATTTTCGCTTGTGAAAACTCCCTTCTTGCACTTCTAAGATCTTGATTTGTCCGATCTCTTCTTTCTTCAACACTTTGAAAATGTCTGGACCATCCGACCGTCGTTTTGACTTGAATCTTGGTGAAGAGGCAGTCCTGCATTCTCCAGACAACATATGGCGCCCATCCTTCATATCCCCTACTGGTCCTCTTACCGTTGGGGACTCGGTGATGAAGAATGATATGACCGCTGCGGTGGTGGCCCGGAACCTTGTCACTCCCAAAGATAACAGACTACTTTCCAGGCGGTCTGATGAGTTGGCTGTTAAGGAGTCTCTGGCTCTTAGTGTGCAGTGCGCGGGTTCTGTGTCCAACATGGGCCAACGCCTATTTGCTCGAACCCGTCAAGTTGAATCGTTGGCGGCTGAAGTGATGAGTCTCAAACAGGAGATTAGGGGGCTCAAGCATGAGAATAAACAGTTGCACAAGCTCGCACACAACTATGCCACAAACATGAAGAGGAAAATTGACCAGATGCAGGAATCTGATGGTCAGATTTTACTTGATCATCGGAGGTTTGTGGGTTTGTTCCAACAACATTTGCCTTCGTCTTCTGGGGCTGTACCGCGTAGTGAAGCTCCGAATGATCAACCTTTGGCTCCTCTTCTTCCTGGAGTTCCGCCAAGTGGTGTGACTTCAAACAGTCAACCTCTGACGTCTCTTTTTCCTAGAGCTCACCGAGTACTGAGACACCACCTGAGCAATAAAGACTCCCTCCCGTTTGTTTGCACATTTGTAAATTTTTTTTTTCTTTTTTTTTTCTTTTTTTTTTTTTTTGGTATGTAGAATGCAATTTTATGTAAAATTTCCAAAAATAAATAAATAAAATGGACTTTTATTTCTCTTGATGCTTTTTTTTTTTTGCTATATATATATATATATATATATATATATATATATATTATACCCACACACATATATATATATACACACATACATATATACATACATACATATATATATATTATTTTAATTTTTAATTTTTAATTTTTTTTTTATTTTTTTCGTCTGCTTTCACATGGTGCTTGATCCACCATTCCCCTTTTTTTCACGTGGTTCTTTGCTTTGCTCCACCACTCTTTTTTTTTTTTGTATAAATTAAGATGCTTGGCTGAGGGATTTTGTAGGGAAGGACGAAGAGGACGGAGAGCTGGAGTTTAAGGAAGAGCTTCTCGGTCGGCTAGTCGTTTGACAGCGGTCTTTGAAGTTGGTGGCAGCTGCGAGGCAAGAGACGGAGGAGG